TTTTTTAAAAAGGTGTCAAAGGGAAGGTAGTTCTCTCCCTGCCCCTTTCAGTTGTATATTTGTGCTGAGAGAGTAAGACGACACACATGAGATAATTTTACTTCAGGATATGGGCAGTAACAGAGACAAGAAAACATTACTGAGTGGAAATAAATGTATTACTGTTTCAAAATCTTTCTATATATCGGCAAGATTTCTCAGTGAAAGTGGTGGGTGATATTACGTCCTCAGTACTCAAAATAGGAGGGAAGCGGCAGTTTTATTTGAGAGCCCCTTCATCAACCCCTCCAATTTTAGTAAAGTAAGTTGTTTCTTGTAGCCTTCTAAAAACTAGTAACTGCCTATGGGGTCATCACAAAAAGTTAGGGGCCAGCCCCCTTCCTCTCTTTCAGACCCTCCCAGTGTCCCTTTTTTCCAGGGACAGTCCCGAATTTACAGAAGCCACCCCAGTTTCTAATTTGATCCTGGAATGTCCTGTTTTTCCTTAGGACGTCCCTATTTTCATTGGAGAAATGTTGGAGGGTATGGAGTTATGCGATCCCTGAGCCAAGGAGATAAGTCACTATTCTACCTTTAGAAGACACCTGAAGGCAGCCCCATATAGGGAAGTTTTTTTAAAAAATGTTTTATTATGTTGGAAGCCGCCCAGAGTAGCTGGTGCAGCCCAGTCAGATGGGCAGGGTATAAATGATAAAATTGTTGTTATGGAACAGGATGTCCCTATTTTTATTGGAGGAAAGTTGGAACGTATGCTTTTTGCTTTGAGGCCTGAGAGTCCCTAGCAAATATCTCCCCCAAATTTTGCAGCTATCTCTAGTTTTTGCTTTTGTTTTTGTTCACGATTTATTAATAATGCTGTGAGTTTATTAATGCTTTATTGATAATTTTCAGTGAAATTATGGTTGCCCAATGTTCTGAAAATTTGAATTTTGAAAAGCCTTTCAAAAGATGCAGAATTTGCCAGATGACTTCTCTGCTATGTGAACATGTTTATATTAACTGTTTGAAAACTGGCTGAATTTGCATAGGTCACTTCATGTGAATAAAAAAGTGAGATTTTTGTTCATATAACAAACAAAACATTCAACAACATTACTCTCTTCCAATAACACCCCATTCAATCACAACCCATCACCGCTTCCTCAAACAAACAAACTGAAAAATAATTGGCCCCGTCTTCAGCAACCCATATTTCCATCAGTTTGTCATTTTAAAAAAGTTTTTTTTAAAAAAAGTTAAAGTTATCAGCGTTGTATCGCAAATGCCTCCTAATACGCACATTTTTCTATGGTTTTGCCTCATATGATTTTTCGCAAATCATCTTTCCCTAATGCATTTCTGTGTGCTTTTTTCACTCATATATCTGCTTCCATACAAACTTCACCCTAGTATATGAATTTTTGTTCACACTGCATGGCTAAAGAGCTGCATTGCAGAATTCTTATAGTGAGCGAAATTTGAAAGATGACTAAGCTTTGGTTTGCATACTGTTTCAGAAGTGTGAATTAGGTTGTTGTTGTTGTTTAGTCGTTTAGTCGTGTCCGACTCTTCGTGACCCCATGGACCAGAGCACGCCAGGCACCTCTGTCCTCCACTACCTCCCGCAGTTTGGTCAAACTCATGCTGGTAACCTCGAAAACACTATCCAACCAATAGGCTTACATTTAAATGCAAACTGAGTTGAGTATCTCAAGTCTGGACTCAGTGGAGTACCGTAGTTGAGCAAACCACCTGGGGACAGGCCCCCGTGAGGCAACCAAGGAACCTCACAGATTTATTTTATTTTATTTTGTAAAACAGCTGTTCAGCATTATAAAAACGTCTACAAATTACAGTTTAGCCTTCATCTGTATTCAGAATTTCTGCTTCCCCTTTGAACTCAGACAAAAGGCAGGATTGAAGGAAAGCGATGCAAGCAGCCACGACAGTAAAACAAAAAAGTTCCCACACGGCAGCAATTAACAGGATGCCGTCTAATATCTGTATCCATGGGCAACTGCAAGGTTGGGGACCGCCAACCTCAAAAACATTGGTCATGATGTCTGAGGCAAGCAACAGTGAAATTATCGCTATTATTTTCGTTTCACAATGCATAATATTCCAACAAAATTGATTCACTGGCAGAATGACTCACATTTGCTGTGCATTTCAAAATGGAATAACCTTTTTTTTTCATATTCAAACGTGTCCCCTGTTGTCAGAGGTTGAAAGATAGTCACTTTGGAAGCACAAAGCAACACAGTCAAGTCTGAGCAATTGCCCCAGTTATGTTAAGGATTTCGACCTTACTGTCACAAATTTACATTCATAGTTTGTGCCTCAGGTAATGCAAAACAATTGACGCTCATGTAGGCAGCATGCCAGTCCGTTATTATTAAAAAAAGGACAATGATTTTAGCAGTTTGGGATCCATGCCAAATCAGTCTTATTTCATTCCAGCGCATGCTAAAACAACAATCCCTGTTTGTGATTTTAACAGATTTTGTTGCAAGGGTTGAAAAAATGTGTGCAGGGTGGGTTTTTTTTATTTTTAAAAAAGAGTTCTCTCCTTACTTGTCATTTTGATGGACAACAGAACTCTCAGATGTTATACTTAGCTCCTGGTAGCACATCTAAAGCAGGATTCATCGTTTAGCAGCAGGGCACATACATTGCAACTACAGAATAGGTCCAGGCAGGGAAAGATTAGTGCTGCATCTTAAAAACATCTACCAAATCTCTGAAGAGGACTTACTCTGTTTCTGGTCATTGGCAACAGGTCATGTGGTTACATAGTGCTCTTTGTATCATAAGATGCATTCACCCGCACCACGACACCCAAATAAGCATTGCTATGCAGATGCAGAAGGCTGCTTCTGTGCACTGAACAGCAAGCGCCGTAACTGGAAGGTATGTTTTGCATGCAGTAGTTCCAAGGTTTAATTTCTGGCAGCAATGAGCAGTCCCGGATTAAACTCTGTGGAGGCCCCTAGGCAGTCAAAATTGGGCCCAGGGCGGGGGGCTCGCACTGTGATGCTTTCAAGCATCTAGTTGGCCACTGTGAGAACAGGATGCTGGCCTTTTCTTAGGTTCTTAAGGTAGAAAACATAAACTTGTTGCATGACTTTTTGCATCCATCTTTTGTGGAATTTGATCATGTCAAAAAGTGCACATTCCTGGGGAAATCTGGAGTTCTGAAGCAGCAATGCAGGGTGGGAGAAGGAGAAAAGTAGAAATTATTAACCCTGGAGTGGGACCAAGACGTAGTATAACTCATACACTCCTACTAGGAAGGCTCTTTAGGGAGGACAGTGTTTCAAACCACTTTCATGTCCCCTTCCTCATGGCTCCCAGTGGTGGCCTAGGGGGGACTTTCTTTCTTTCTTTATCAGAATATTTATATACCGCTAACCTAACCTACCTTGTGGGGTTGTTGAGAGGATAAAATGGGGAGGCCAGAACTACTGAGCTCCTCGGCTGGAAAGGTTGTGCACATAAACGTAGTAAAGAGAAGATGTCTTTGGTTCCATGGGTGTGCTTGTTTCTTCTCTCTTCCCCCTCGTTATTTCGTTTTCCCTTTTGTTTTTCTGCTTTACGGATGACAAGTCTGAGACCAGGCATGGGTGTAGCCAGAATTAATCTTGGGAGGGGGCAGAATACCCACCTGTCATCTTCCTCCATCTGGTTCTATCTAGCGGATTCAGAATGAAATGTTTCAACAACACTTGTTTTAATAATAATAATAATTTATTTAGACCCTGCTCATCTGGCTGGGTTTCCCCAGCCACTCTGGGCAGCTCCCAACAGAATATTAATAACACAATAAAATATAAAACATCAAACATTAAATTACTGTTTTAAATTACTGTCTACTGGGGTTGCCAACTTTTTTGTCCTGCACTTGTACTACGTAGCAATAACAAAATAAAGTAATCTGTCACTGAGGATCCCAACACACACCCACACACCCTACATCCCAAATAAACTTCTCACAATCCTTAGGGTTTGAAAAAAATATATTCTGGTTAAAATCTGACTGCTGGCACTAGTAAACTTGTTGCCTCAGGGTCAAGCAAGGTGAATCTTTGCTTGTGTAGATTATTTAAAACCATTTATAAACCACTCAGTACTTTTAAAGAATACACTGTGTACAATGTAAAAGATAATATCAATAAAACAAAAGTACAATGCAAAACCAGTAAAACCGCAGCATAGAAGCATGTTAAAACCAATAAAAGTGGGATTTCAGGGAATTCAAACAAATAAGCACAGGATCCAAAGGTGGAGCCATGATTTATGTCAGTGGGCGGCAAGACACTAACCTGTCGTCATCCTCTGTCTGGCTCTAGCAGATTCAGAATGAAATGTCTCAGGAACACTTGTTTTAAATTGCTGTCTTTTGGCCCCAAGTGCTCAGAAAAATATGTCAAAATCTTCAGTCATTTGCAAACTAGGAAGCTAAAGAAAAAAATTAACAACAGGGAGTACCTTTCGTGCTATTATCGAGTGTATTTTGAAAAATTACCCAACCCCCCCCCCACCACCATTTTTATCTTATTCTTTAAGAAATCTAAACCAGAACAAATTTTCTTGGATTTGCTGAGAACCTTTCAGCACTTCCTTCTCCAATTCCTCTTTTTCCCGATGCAGTTTTTCTGTGCACACTCAGTAAGCATACCCACATACTTCCCCCAACAACACCTAGGCATTGGGGGTGTTCTGCACCTGACAACAACAGCAAATAGGTTCTTACTTATCAAGAATCAAATAAACAAAATATCTCTCCTAGCCGAACGGTCTGTGAGATAAGATAGATAGCGATGAATATGGAGAGAGAGAGAGAAGAGAAGCCAAGCACCAAATTGCTGCCTTTAAACCAGGCGCCAAGCAGACCCAGCAGCGACAGGCAGGACTCGGGCGCCGTCGGGCGCGCGAGGCTTTGCGCGCATCCCGCTGCCTGACGCCCCTGCAAGCCAATCAGAGGGCGCGTCCCTGAAGCACCTTGTGACAGGCAGAGGCGGCCTTCCCTCTCCTCGCCCCGAGCGAGTGAAGCTGCGAGGCTGGGCGGGCCCAGCTCGGCCGCTGCTCAGGGCGGTGTTTCGAGAGCGGCGTCCGCGATCGCGGTTTGTCGCCGCTCCAGGGTTCAGGAGCTTATTTAAGCCGGCCACGCGCACACACACACGAGCACAGGCGCGCGCGCGCGACGCAGGCAGCTGCTGAGCATCCTTAGTAGCAGCAGCAGCATCGGGCAGCCAGGGATCCGGTGGGGGAGCAGCAGCAGCAGCAGCCCGAGCCAGACAAAGCAAAGATGGCAGGGATCCTGGCTTGGTTCTGGAACGAGAGGTTCTGGCTGCCGCACAATGTCACCTGGGCGGATCTGAAGAGCACCGAGGAAGCCACCTTCCCTCAAGTGGAGGACCTCTACCTGGCCTTCCCGCTGGCCTTCTGCATCTTCATGATCCGCATGGTTTTCGAAAGGTGAGGCTGGGATCTGGGATCTGGATGCTTCTCTCTCTCTCTCCAGCCCCACAAGCCCCCCAGGGAAAGGGCTGCCCTCTTCTTCTTCTTCCCACAGGCAAACAAGCTCCCAACTCGCTCGTGTGGGGCTTGTTTTATTTGGGCCACTGGGGTCTCTCCGCCTCTGGAGATGTTGGCTCTAGGGGTGGGGGTGGTGAGGGGGCTTTGCAGTTCGTAGGCAGACAGCCTCATGAGTGGGGATTATATGGGGTGTACGGATCAAACTTCCCTGAAGAATAAGAGGGGTGTGTGTGGGTCGCCAGCATTGGTCCGATGTTAGCAGCATGGGTCCAATGCTGCCACACTGACTTAAAAAAACACACACCAAAACCATGCCCACTCAAAAGGCAAGGAGGCATTTTATTTTGATTAGAGAGGCTTTTCGAGCTAAGCTTGAGATCACCTTCCTGGTCACTCCTTCCCTCAGATGCTACCAATGCAGATGGTTTTGTGGTGGGCAACGTGCCTGTGTGATGGCATTCAAGGCAAAAATTCATTGATAAATGACCAGCAGGCTTGCTAGTATCGGATTGGATGGGGGGGGGGGCTATGCGCTTGACCCTGCTGAAAAATCCAGTGTTGTTGCTGTTTTTGAAAATGGGAACTGCACATTGATGCACATTTCAACTTCCTTGAAATAGGCTAATCGCCTCATTTCTAAAATGAGGAAAGCAGGGTTCAGGCAAGTCTGCCTGGAGCCCAGGCCTCAGACCTGTAAACTGCTGTCTAATAGCACAGCTGTGAGTAGGTAAGCTGTGAGAAGGAGGTAAAATGCTCCGCACATACCCAGAGGTACACATACCTTTTACCTCATGTTCTGGATCTCATGTACGGCATTTTGAAACTCATGGGTTTATAAGTCCTTGGTCGAAATAATTCTGACAATACTATTCCGTGTGGAACACCTGACTGGAAAAAAACCCCATTTCTTAAAAAGGTCACTTGTATACTGGTGACATAGCTTGTAGGTTTTTAAGTAAAAGCGAATCAGTGTCATAAAACAGTAAAATGCTGTACACTTCATGAATACAATCTGATTATTAATTAAGCTAGGAATCTATCGGTTTTCAGTCCTTTGTTATACCTCCAAAATTATTTGCTCCAGGGAAAAGCCTGATGGTTAAGTTGACAATCTTTCCTTTATGCTTTCCCTGTTGTTCCGTTGAAGAGCTGTTTCCCTTCATGATAAACACAGGACAACAACACAACAGAAAAGAATCCTTTTTGAAAATGCAGAATAATAACTGCTGTGATAGTTAACTGAGAACACCTCTTAAATTTTAAGGTTGGCGTTCATAATGATCTACATAGAATATACCACTTTTCTGAAATACTAACCCAAACTGATCATACACTAAATGTCAGTTAATACAATGTGTGAAGATAATTGTGTGGTAAAAATGTCTAGTTTTCCTGGAGGGTCATTTTGAGTACTTCTGCCCTAGCCTTTTCTCCCAAGATGGACATTTGTTTACTTGTTTTGTCTCCTGGATTCTAAGGAATATGCTTTCCACACTGTTACATTCCTGCATTTTCCCTGTTGTCCTGCTTTTTAAAAAAGTTTTTTTTTTAAAGTGCTGTTTTGTAGTGATTTTTAGACCTATCAAAATAACAGCTCAAAGCTTTCAAATATGACATAGTGCTATTGTTTCTCCTGGTGTAGTGGAGGGCTTGGTGATGTGCCCCTCCCTTTTCTACATTACCTACCTGTCTGTAATTAACTTAATTGTCTCTCTTGCTCCATCCTCTGCTGTGGAGTTCTTTAAACTCCTTCTGCGTTTAACCTGTGTAGTAAAGGTGATATTCTATATGGAATGGAGGCAGGGTAGAGGGAAACAGACCTTATCCACTTCTCTTTTTCATTAACACATTATGGGATGGATGGATGGATGCATGCACGTAAGTCTTGAGAATTTTTAAAAAGAAGGACATACAGAGCAAAAGTTATTGACTGTTGCCTAGGCTGCAGGACTGTCTTAGCATGGTAGCCTCAGCAACACAAGCTCTGACTTTCCTCCCTTGGTGTTGCTGGGTAAGTCTGCTCAGTACACCCATGGTAGGAGCGCATGATGGTGATGCTGCTGCCCATTTCATATTGCCTCTTTTCCTTCCAAGTGTTCTCAGTCTCCATTGCAAGAGACTGGTCCATTTGGATAGGTGGAAATGGGGCTTCCTATCAGTCCAAGAAAGGGGTGCAACTGTTGCTCCCCTCTGCTTGTTGCTGCAGGTTCTTTTTTCCTTGCCATCTCATCTCTTTTATGGGGTGAGCTGCAGCTATGACTGTCCTTCTCATAGAATCATAGAATAGAATCATAGAGTTGGAAGAGACCACAAGGGCCATCGAGTCCAACCCCCTGCCAAGCACTCTTTACCATCAATTGTCCTAAAGCACATACTATTGTCTTGGAGACTCTCTGAAGGAACTTTGGTCTTAAGGATCCTTCTTTTAGGATGATAACACTATAGTTTAAAAACAAAACAAAACCATGCCACCTGGGGTTTAGATAATACTCTAATGCCAAGGAATAGGACTAACACTAGTATGACATTAATAAAAAATAAAATAAACTGGTGTGTTTGTAACACAAAAAACAACTTTGTCAGAAGGTGGCTGTTTCCCATCCACAATATTTTGCTTTTTATTGCTCACAAGTATTCCCTATCTGGAATGTCACAATTCTGCTCTTCCCTTCTACTTCAAACATCCAATAATCTCTTTTATTCTTCACCAGTAAAGAACAAACACTTTCTTAACAATGCACATTTTTTAAGAGCCCAGAATTGGATGTACACTGAGCAATTTGATAACCTGATGCTCTCCATATATTTACCAGGATACCCAGGCCAAATATTTATTTCTGAATCCTTTATAACTACCCTTTCGTTATATAGTGCAATGTCAATATATGGCTTTCACATAGTTCACATTATTGCTTTTTATAAAGAGAGAGAAGCTCCCGTTTTCTCCTGCCTAAACTCAGGAAAAACGTATGCAGAATTCTCACATAGGTAAACTACCATAGAGGCAAAATGTAGTACAACAGTTTTTTGATAAAATCAGCTCATAAAATCTTGTACTCCACCGAGTTATGGAGGATGGGTTTAGTTACTTGCAGTTACACTTGAATCTCCTCATAATTGGTGTTTTTCTCCCCCAGGAACTGGGAGAAGAGAGCGCTCCTTGGGTTGCCTTGTGTGCCTGAGAGCCTTTCAATGGAAACATGGTGCTCTGAGGCCCCATAGGCAATGGACTGAGGAAGTGGAACATAGGAATGGTAGAGAATGAGATTTTTGGTGAAAGGGCATGGGAGAGGGGGGAACTGAGGAGAGAACAGCTTCACGGTGCTTAAAGGGAAACAACAGAGTTTGGTCAAGAGAGAGTGGCTTAAAGAAGGGGCACAAAGTAGGCCGCCCCTTGTCAAGCTGGAATTGGAGGGAACAGTTTGTAAGGATTTGAAGGGAATAATGGGTGGTAGAAAAATTGGAGTTGAAGAAAGAAGTCAATGGAAAAGTAGAACTAGGGGAAACCATGTGATCTAGAGATGGGTTGTTCTGTACTGTTGGCAGGGTGACAGAGGAGGCCAGGGATACATAAGTATGCTAGGTTTAGAGTCTCTTGGCTCCGAGGTGTCAGTATCATGGCAATATAGGGAGCTGGCAACCTCAGAAGGACAAGGGAGGGGTGTGATGCAGTAGGTAATGTAGTTTATTTGAACTAACTAGCCAATTCTAAGACTGCTGACTTCCAGGAATGTCTTCAAAAAGTGGTATGAAGTCAGTAAAAATGCTGTGAGTCCTCTGCCCAGCTGTCGCCCATTATTGTCATGGCTTCTCCCCACAAAATCCCGCAAAGGAAATATGGGTCTCTAACAGACTTTGCAGAATCTCACAACTCTAATCCCCAGAGTTCCTTGAGGGAAGCAAATCCACCAGTGTCCATAGAGATTTGGCCCCAGTACGTTCATTACATGTGATGCACAAATGCATGTCAGCCATCTTCTGTTCCCTGTTATTTTGATTTTACTTTTAAATGAGAAGCAGCTTGAGTAGATGGGAATTCTGAATAGACACACAGAAGGTGGAAAGGCGTCCACAGCTTCTTCACACCCATGCTTTTCAGATTTTCCCACCATGCCCCCCCCCCGAATCCCCTGGGCAAGAGTTTGCCCTCTAAAATAAACATTTGGAACTTATGAATTAGGAAAGACCATGGACTCAGCTACATTAGTCAAAAAACTCTGTTTTGAATGCATTATAAACATGCACCAGATGGCGCTGGAGAGTAAAAAAGAAATCTATGCGATTTTCCATAATGTTTTTTTCTTTTGTTATAACGATTTAATTTCTTTCTTGTTTATAGTATTTTTTCCCGTGTGTGTGTAGATCCACCCCAGCAAAACTGTTTGGAAGTTGTGCTTAAAATGTTGTTTGGGGTCCTGATCTGGTTTTTTTTGGGGGGGTGGCAAACCATTGTTTGCTGGGTTTGAAAGAGAGAGAAAGCTTGCATAAAGAGCCAATATAGATTTATTTATGCAAATAGATTCTTATCTTGCTATTCCATGACAAAGGCAACATAGAAATTCAATTTAGAACAATAAAACATACCAACAAAAAAACCCCTAAGTTAATTAAGTGAAATACTGTATTGATTTAAAGCAGATTAGTTACAATTAAAGACCTAGGTAAACAGGATGGCCTTATCCTGGCATAAAAAAAAGATAGTAATGACAGTACAAATTGAATTGTGGAGAGGGAATTCTACCTTCGGGGCTCCTACAGAAAAGGTGGGGACACCTGGAAAACTTGCTAGTCAAGGTAATATGGGAGAATGTGGTCCTCTTGTTATCCTTGACCCCATACTGTGACTCTATAGGTTAAAACCAGCCCTTTGCATTGTTCCCCAGACAAACTGGGTGCATGTGACGATATTGTAAGTTTGCTAGTGAAATAGTTTCACCAAG